TAAGAGTTTTCAATTATATGGATTACAGGTTACTGTAGATGCTTTAACTATTGCTAATTATTACTGCATTCTGTAAGCTGATGAGTCAGGGTGCCAGTTTAATAATAGCAATAGCACTTAGACTTATATACTGCTTCACAGCCCTTTCTAAGCAGTTTACAGAGTCCGCATATTGCCTCAAATAATCTGGGTCCTCATTTTACCAATCTCAGGATCGAACTGCCAGCAGCCAGAAGTAACCTGCTGTACTGCATTCTAACCACTGTGCCACCACATCAGCTCTGTTCCACAAAATCAGACTACTTTTAGTCAGAAACATTACATCCTCCTTCTTTCTTTTTTACATTCCATTTGTTATTACATGCCATTTATCATTTATTTTCCTTACATTCTATGTTGAAGCCTTCTGTATATCACAGTTGGGCCCACAGACATTGATCTCAATTGCCCATCATAGCTTTGATCAACCAAAACTCTCACATAACATCTTTCCAGTAATAGAGAAAATATAGAATTAAGTGTCTTCTCCCCCCAATACCACATGCAATATTTCCTGTAAATGGTAAGATTGGGACCAGTTTGAGCACATTTGGGCCAATCTGCCACAAGTGCTACCAAATACTTGCACATATTAGGACATATTTGCTGATTATCCAGAGGGGGCTTCTTGGCTGCATGTGTATAGTCCTAGATTTAGACTTAACAGAAATTCTGGGCTCAATTATGGTTTTAAGTAAAAAATGGAGTTTTGCCTGATTTTACTACTTTTCTTGCCACATTTATTAAGTGAATCACTGCAGTTGTTAAATTAATAACACGATTGTTAAGTGAATCTGGCTTCCCCATTGACTTTGCTAGTCAGAAGGTTGCAAAAAGATGATCACATGACTCCAAGACAAAGCAACTGTCATACATCTGAACCAGCTGTCAAACATCTGAATGTAAATCACATGACTGTGGGGAATGCTGCAAATCGTAAGTGTGAAAAATGGTCATGTCACTTTTTTCCGTGCCGTTGTAGCTTTGAACAGTCACTAAATGAACTGCTGTAAGTTGAGTACTACCTGTATACCTGCAGCATTTGCACTGCTTACATGGTGGTGAAAGGGAAAGAGGCATTCCGCAGAGCTGTGACTGTACCAAGCAGCATCTCAAAAGAAAAAAGATTTTGTTGGGCTTTTTACACAGCATTTATAAAGGCAGTGTATTCATTTAAGAAATGGCTTTGTCGTTTTTCTATTTCTATCATCCCAAGAAGCTGTAACTAAAAATAAACAATTTACCCACAGCTTTGCATGTTCATGATTATCCCCACTGCAAGAACAGAAACGGAGGAACTGAGAAATAAGTTGATGACGATTTTATGACTTTAAATATCTTGGCGGCCCTCCAGAGGTGGAACTCGTAATTACTCTTGCGGAATATCGTTGCCAGTAAGGTCTTTATTTTATCTCCCACTTTGACCATCCGACAGGTTCGTGTTGGAGTCTGGGAGTCCGCACCATTGTTCTCACGGAAGGCTCGATACGGTGGCAGCGGCAGCATCACCTGGAAAGGGACGGATTTTATAAGGGGTCACTCCGACCTTGCAATTTCGCGCCGGCTGAAAATTGAAAGGCAGCTTTCAAAACCGCCATTCACGGATGTTTCGCCGTTCCGACAGCCTTTTTTTTTTTTTTACTACGCCTGAATGCTACTGAGGCCAAGCTACCTCCACAAAATATAAGCTACCTCCACAAAATCAGCCTCGTCGGGGAATGGTGGTTGCTTTCCCCAAAGGACCTTTTTCAAGAGGCAACTGGACATTCTGGTAGTGGTTGTTTTTGCTTCTTTTTCTTTGAAGAAGTTTCGCTTCTCATCCAAGAAACTGCTTCAAGCTCATTTCTTGGACGAGAAGCGAAACGTCTTCAAAGAAAAAAACCAAAAAAAAAACAAAAACCCAGAGAGTCCAGTTGCCTCTTGAAATAAAAGCTCCTTTAGGACAACCATGACCTGGAGGGCTGAGAATCTCCATATAGACGGTGGTCGCTTTTCCGCTTCCACTTCAGTGCTTTGTAACGCCCGGGCCGGCCTCGTTGGACTCAACAAAAATTGCCGCCCATACAGGAGAAGCCCCGCCCTTCACAGTTTCCCGCTCTATTCCTGCTGCCTCCGATATGGAACTGCGGGGCGCCTTAAGTTCGACGCTCTCCTACCCCACCCCACCCCACTTTTCAGGAGCGTTCTTACGTCATACGTCACAAAGCTTTCGCTTTCCTTTACTGGAGCCGTGGTCTTTTTCAGAGTCAGCGTCCTTCCGCTTGTGGGGGGGGGGCATTTGGAGGCTGGGCTAGGTGAAAGGTGTGTAAATGTGGGCGGTGGAAGACCCGAGCTTCGCAGGGGGGCTGTATCCCATAATAATGGGGTGACCCACCGTTGTCTAGGCTAACTGTTGGGAAAAGGAGGGTTACGTAATAGCTTGAAGAGGAGAGTAGCGGTGGCATTATCGTAGGGCATAACGAAAAGGAAGATATTAAGACAGGCACACAATATGGGAGGAGGAACAAGATGGGAACTGAATTGGACTTGGTATGATATTGTCTCGCGCAGGATTAACTCTCTTCTGCTGAAGCACATTTATGGAGAAACTCAACTTTGAACTGATTTCGCCCCAGAGGTTTTGGCGTTGCTTAAACCTGTGTTATTTAAGAAATCCTGTTGTTAACACTTAATGGCTTTGGAGATTCTCAGATCTTGGTTGTCCCAGAGGTGCTTTTCCAAAAGGCAACTGGATTTTGTTTTTCCTTGAGGGATGTTTCGCTTTCTCATCCATGGTCAGAACTGAAGAAGCCTTTTGGATGAGATACGTAACTTTGTTGTTCAAGGAAAAACAAAGTCCAGTTGAAAACAGCACCTTTGGATTGTTAACACTTGTTAAAAGATTATTGGATATTCCTATACTTTGGGTAGAAACGAAACGAAGTAGGTTCAGTTGATTATTTACACGATACTTTTAAACTGGTAGCATATTCAGAAAACCAAAACGATGCTTTTGAGCACCTATAAAATGCATTCATTAGGTAAATTAAGATCTCCTGCCTTGAACAGGAGGTTGGGCTAGATAGAAGACCTTCGAAGTCTCTTCCAACTTCATTCTATGTTCTAAATCAGAGAATTTGACTGTGATTTTATTGTTGGACAGAAGTTATTTTGAATATTCAAAAACATGTTCCACAATTGCTAATTTTTGATGTAATGGTTGCAGGGCTGTCAATTTACTTTTTAGTAATAAAGATTACTTGCAGGTTTGTATAAGAACATGCCTGAAATTATGAATATTTTATGTGTGGGTGAGGAATATGAGTAGACAAAAGAATTGAATTCCACTAAAAACTATGCTGTGCAGGACATGAAACAGTGGACAATATAAGTATTACAATTGGTGGACAGGCATCCTAGTTTGAACCTGCGGGTACTCTTTCTTTTCCATGAATCACTTGGAAAAGGAAAGAAAAGATAACACATGTTTGGGGTTGTATAAAATTAGATCACAGGTTAAATGTTTATGTTCAGATAGGTGCCCATTTTGGTTTTAAATAAACAATAAACTGCTACAATATTTCTTTTTAAAATACTATGCAGATTTTTGAAGGCAGCAACTCTGCGCTTATTCAAATTAAATGCATTTTTGTGCAGCAGCTGTATGATTCCAGAATAAAGTGTAGCTGTTTTAAAGACTTGCAAACCAATGCTGCGTTAAGCCTTGGCATATTCTAAAGCATTTCTTTATTTTCTAATGCTTAAATAGCCCTACTTCTTCCACTTTAAATGAGCATAAAATTACTATCTGCATCTTTCTAAACTGTAAGACAATATGACAATGAAGGTGTTTGTGTGTTTTTAATAAAATCTATTCCCTCAATAATTTTTTATATCTGTTTTCAGGCAAAAAGAGTTTTAAGAAAAAGGAGGAACCAATATTTGCACTAGAATAATTTCATAATATCTGTATTTTTCCTCTTTGAACAGATATTCTATATATAATAAAGATAAATAATTTTTCTGTAAATAAGCTGAGTCAGGTAAGTGCCTTGATATACTAACACAATAACTCTACTTTGTGTCTTGTATATGTGTGTACAAAATATTTAAAAGTATATTGATCCATAGATTTTAGGAAAAAAATATCAGCTTTCTTAAGGGACGGTTTTCTCTCAGAATTATATTCTCTGCTTTTATTAAAAACCAATTTATAATTTTAAAGTATTTAAAGTTAGCAAATAGAAGTAGAAGATATTTTAGTTAGCTCCTATGCATGCTTCAGGAACATTTGTCTGACGTTAGAAATATTTGTAAGAGATGACCAGGCTGAGCCTGAGGTCAAATGCATCATAAGACAAAAGTCATTGCATGCCCACAAGAGATCTAAGTCCAGCCCACTTTGAATGCTTCTCTTATCTTTTATTTATTTCCCTTGACTGTTAATGGGTCAGATTTTTGTAGAAAGGGTAAGCTTGCAATAAACCTTTATACTCATGTGAACTTCCTGAATCTCCTGATTTCTTCTGGGGCTTGACAATATTAACGGAAACAAGGCACTTGTAAAAAAAATCCCTTTACACCTAGCACTTCTCTAATAGTCAAATATTCACTGATAAATGCAATTACTTTTATAGTCTTATAAAATTAATTGTGAAATTATGCTTGTAGGAATTGTCATGTGTAATATCTCTTAGATAACTTATGAAAAGCTGTAAATAAATAGTCAAGCCAGCTTTGCCAGTGGGCAGTACAGGTAGCTTTTTGGATTATGAAGACAATTAGGATTGGAATTGCTATTGGTAAGCAGTGCAGTGGTGCATTTTCACTGCTGCTGAGGGAGGGTAGTCCCAGTTGCCATCATTAAGAAACCACCCTGTGGATCATTAAACAAGGACCTTACATGACAGTGATTTCCAACTTCCTGCTCACTTCCCCATTTACTTTCCTAGTCAGCAGGAAACTTTGGACATTGCACTAGCATGATAGCAGCTTGCTGCGACATTGCAATTGCAAACCGGCCGCCAAGCACCCAGATCTCAATCTTGTAACTGCAGAGACGCTGCGATGGCCGGAACTCTGCAGACCAATTGTAAGTGCCCCTGGTTAAGCACTGTCACAAGTTTGAACTGTTGCTGACATGGTCGTAATGCAAACACTTGTATGTGTACATGCTGCTTTAGTAAGAAAAGTCTGCTTATTGGACAGGTGTGCTGAATCTTTTCTATTTGAGAGATTAGTAATACATTTTTTTTTGTTTCTACAGTTCTTTGTTCCCAGTCATGCCTACTTTAAATAAATTTCGTGCTATGGTGAAAAAACGGGGATTAAGAAGAACATGTACTTTGGATGAGATCAGTAAAGATATCTCTTTTTTACATCCCCCTCCGAATGGGGGCTGGGGCTGGGTTGTAGTCTTAGCTGCTGCTACTCACGGCTTGCTTGTTGGTGGATTTCATAGCGCCTTTGGTGTTTACATGATGCCCCTTCTTGACACTTTTAAATCAAGTAACTCACAGATAGGTAGGTCATTGTTACATTAAGATTTTCAGCATAGCTTTGATATATTGTACTGCAGTTTTGTTTATAATTGTATCTTGCTTAACAGTCTGTAAGCAAATGGTTTAAACCAGGCTTGTCCAACCCGTGGCCCGCGGGCCGCATGTGGCCCAGGTTGCCTCGTAATGCGGCCCAACGCCCACCCCAACCTTCGTGAAAGATCCAGCAAGGAGGAGGAGGAGAGGCAGGCGCGAGGCGGGGCGAGGCGAGCAACAGAAAAGGCGGGCAGCTGCAGCCCAAAAGTCCCGCCCCACCACCTCCTGTTGTTGCCGCCGCCGCTGCTGCTTCTGCCCCCGCCGCCGCCACTGCTGCTTCTGCCCCCGCCGCCACCGCTGCTGCTTCTGCCCCGCCGCCGCTGCTGCATTTGCAGGAGGAGAGGTAGGCGCGAGGTGGGGCGAGGCGAGCAACAGAAAAGGTGGGCAGCCGCAGCCCAAAAGTCCCGCCCCGCCACCTCCTGCTGTTGCTGCCCCTGCCGCCGCTGCTGCTTCTGCCCCCGCCGCCGCTGCCGCCGCTGCTGCTTCTGCCCCCGCCGCCGCCGCTGCTGCTTCTGCCCCCACCGCCGCCGCTGCTGCTGCTTCTGCCCCTGCCACCACTGCTGCCGCTGCTGCATTTGCAGGAGGAGAGGTAGGCGCGAGGCGGGCGAGCTTTCTTTCCCCCCCTCCCCCCCCACCCCGCAAAATTTGGCTGGAAAATTATAAAATAAAAAATAAATAATTTTTAATAAATAATAAATAATAATTTAATTTAATTTAATTTAATTTAATTTAATTTAATTAATTTAATTTAATTTAATTTAATTTAATTTAATTTAATTTAATTTAATTTAATTATTTAATTATTTAATTTAATTTAATTTAATTTAATTAATTATTTTATGTGCGGCCCAAACTAAATTTTCATCTTCTAATGTGGCCCAGGGAAGGTGAAAGGTTGGACACCCCTGGTTTAAACTATATGCCAGTGCTGTTGAAAACCACAAGAATGAGAGTCATTTCCATAATAATACAAGTGATTTGATATTATTGTTTTTTTAATATGTTTAATTGAATATATTTGTCTTTTTAAGCTTGGATTGGATCTATCAGCTATGCTTTCATTATGATATTTGGTCCTGTTTCTGGAAAACTTCTGGTGAAATATGGAGCTATAAAAGTGGCGCTAATTGGAAATCTAGTTACCATAGGTGGTCTAGTGTGGTCATCATATACTCATAATTTACCAATGCTGTTTTTCACTCATGGAATCATTGTTGGTGTAGGATCAAGTCTGGCCTACACTCCAGGTAACGCTTTACAATAAAATCATATTTTGTCACATTTCTTCTGGTTTTGAAAATGTACTTTTGCTTTGCTTTGCTTTTGTGGCAGAAAAATAATGCTATAATATAGGCAGCACTTTTTCATGAGAAAATAATAACTGCGTTCTTTATTTTGAAAGATGTAATTCATAACAGTACATATATAGAACAAGGTATCATGCATTTTAATTTCCTAAAATAAAGAATTGGAAATTGTAAAAACTGGAAAAAAAACCTAATGTATAAAAATAGTAAAAAAAAATAGAGAATAAGATTTTGTACTTGTACAATCCTACTGATACTCATTATTTTTATAGTTTATTGGGCTTTGTTCAGTTAAAAACATGCACCCTAAACACAGCTTCACATTTTTTCAAATCATTGTATAAATAATTTCACAATAAACACTAGAGCACAAATAGAATATTTGATTTTAAAACAGTTTTATAAATAGCTGGTTTGCTAAATGTGATATTTTATCAGAGGGAGATATACATTTTGAAAGTGCATCCTATGTAGTATGAAAAGTTAAAGTTCTATTTGTAATTTACAGTGGAAAAACAATTTGCTAATGCTAGAAAATAATTTCTACCTGGAGGCGCTTTTTATATTCCATGAAGAACTGATTATATATTTTCTTTATCATTAAGAGATATGAATTCAGATTGATGCAAATCAAAGTTAACTATAAGATATACATTTTAGCAAATACGGACCCCAGTAAAGAAAACACATTAAAACTATTAAAACTACTTTTTTAAAAAGGTAGACATTTCCACAGGGGGCAGTGCTCATCTGTTTGCAAACTGAAGGAGCCAATGTTAGCTGAAGCTGCCACTACACCCCTTTCAAATTTAGTTGAACCTAACCCAAACTATTATTTTTAACATGTCTAATCTAATATTCCACCTGCCAGTCAGAGCTAATTTGTCTCTTAGTCCAAGGAATGCTGAGCAGCCATATCTTAAACTAGGCTTTAGAAAATTTACTCCTGGGTTACTATTTTCTACAAATCCAGAATGATGTTTCCATCATATTAAAAAAGGTGCAAAATGCCTGAATTTAATTTGATTTTTTAAAAGTTGAAATAAATGTAGTAGGTCTGTTAAGTCTCGAAACTTTAACATGCCTGTTTTAGCCCTTTTCAGTCCATTGGTATTTGCTCTAACTGGATTTGAAAAGCTAGGAAATGGCCCACCAAAACTTTGCATATTTATAAAATCTCATCCTACCCATCACAAAGGGAGTATAAATCCCAGTTATTGCATTCATCAGATTTAAAATTAGTTTGGCTTGCAAATGACCCTAGCATACATGCAACGGAGAGCAAGCCCCATTAACTGTAAATAAAGAACAGTAATGGACGTATGTATAAGCTTTCTCCTTTCCCTGGTATCTTTATCATGTTAAATAAAACGTGTGACTGAACTTCAGTATAAAATAACTACTTTAAATTACTGTTATTTCTTGATAGGGATGATAATGGTTAGCCTTTACTTTACTACAAGGCGTTCATTTGCCACTGGATTAGTGATGGCCGGAGGAGCTGCAGGAATTTTCGTACAGAATAAACTTCAATATTATTTAATTCAGAATCTTGGATGGAGAGATAGTTTGCGTGTATATAGTGGAATTCTATCCATATGTATTATAGCTGGATTTGCATACAAGCCTCTTCAAAAACGTATGTAACTGCTTTAGGCATTTTTAATTAAATATCTCCTTTTTCATGTGGGGGGGGGGGGAGGGAATCCATATTAGGTAAAATAATAATACAAAATAACACAAAGAATTCTTTTGAGGCTTCTGAATTCCCCTACAACTATTGCAACCAAGTTTGCAATTTGATCTCAATCTGGGATGCATGTTATAAGCTGAATGCCCCAATGGATAATGTCATATAGCAAGTGGAAATTATGTAACAGATACAAGAAATTGTGCATTGCTTAAATTAAAAAGTGACCCTACATTATTTCAGCATCCCTTCATAGACCATTTTTCAAAGACCCTTTCTCATTTTATTTAAATTGGGGCAAGTCTTTAATAAGATAATACATAACCATCAACTATAGATGGAATTATAGCAATAGCATTTAGATTTAGATACTGCTTTATAGCCCACTCTAAGCAGTTTATAGAGAGACAGCATATTGCCCTCAACAATCTGGGTCCTCATTTTACCGACCTCGGATGGATTACAAATCCTTCCCAGGACTGTTTTGAAAAGGTAGATAGATATATGTTTAGTTTCCCTCATCTTGTAATATCTAAATCAATTTTTTCTGCATCTGGATGTGGGTATGATGTAGCAGCCAATAATGTGGAATAGAATAGAAAATGAATGTCTTGTAAGTCATAAATTCATTGGACATGTGAATAGATAAGAACTTGACACATTTTAAGTGTGCAGTAAAAGTAGGTTTCACAATCATGTATTTTATTAAATTCAGATTCTGGTCAATGATTGTAGTGACATTTGTCTGTCAGGGATTATTTCAGGTTGTTCAGTCCCTAAATCCCATCTGACCCTTGGTAATCTCATGGACCATAGCACCTCCGTGTCTTCTCTTGTCCTCCATTGTCTCACGGACTCTTCACTATGCCCACTGCGTCAATGACACTCATCCTCTGCTGTCCCCTTCTCTTTTGCCTTCAGTCTTTCCCAGCATCAGAGTCTTCTCCAATGAGTCATCTCATTTGGTGGCCAAAGTATTTGAGCTTCAGCTTCAGTATCTGTCCTTCCAAAGGAGAATCAGAGTTGATTTCCTTTAGGGTAAAATTATTTCAAGAAGCTGAATATAAATGCAAGATCAAACCCATATAGCCTGGCAGTAGCTAGAACTTAAGGAAGTCAACATGTTTGCTGTCTGTCTGTCTGTCTGTCTGTCTATCTATCTATCTATCTATCTATCTATCTATCTATCTATCTATCTATCTATCTATCTATCGTTTCCCAGATCTCAGAGGTATTCCACTATAGATTTTTTTGATAACTTTTACTCTTCCAAAATTACCTTTATCACCATTCTCATTTATCATTCTGCCTGCAATCTAATTTGGGTATTCTGTTGATAAGAATTTAGGAAAGGTCTACCTCAGCTATTGTCAATAAAGAGACCTGTTCTGTCTTTTATAATTACTGGTTGAATATAAAGATAGACAGACAACTCTATAAAGGCTTCCATACAAAGTTTCTTTTATTGGTTCACCAGGCATCCTCAAATATAACTCATGTTTACGTCGAGATTCATCTAATGTCCAATTCTTTGCATAGCTGGCTTCATAGTGTAAAAGAATAGTGATCTTTCATCCCATAACGAAGGAGCAAGGGGATGAGGCACGAGCATGCTGCTGGAGTCCAGGCAAGAGTGAAGGAACCTCCCCCAATCCAACCAAGGTTCAATTCAGTGATCAATCAGGATTACAGATGTGACCGCATGACATGAACTTTGGTCTTATCTTAACTACATTTAGCATGATGCATTCCCTTAAGGGGACAGCTCCCAATTCTAACTTAACTAACTCAATTCCCATTACCTATATACTGTCTGGACAGCACACTCCCCGCCTGGAATTATAAATTCCACTAACTAACTATCAATTAACTATACAACTAAGATAAACAGTAAACAGTAATATAGCATCAAACAAAGCAATGCATGCAAAGCTTGAGGTTCAATCTTCAAGTTTAGCTTTTCTCTGCAGCAACACTAGGTCGGTGACCGGTCTGGTGTAGAGCTTCTTGGTGAAAGTCTGCTGGTCACTTCTGGCGGCCTTGTAGGGTGGACAGGTACTCTTGCTTCCAATGGTTCCAAGGGGTGTTGGCAAGCTTTTGGGATAGATGTTCTGAAGACATTTGCCTGGGATGGGGCCTGCAGCCGATCGATGCAGACTATCCCTGTGATCCCCCATCCTAGCACTGTCTTGAAGGCAAATGGGGAGCCTGTTGGGCCTTTGACTACTTCAGTGTGAATGAAAGCGTCAGGTACGCCTACTCCCAACAAGAGCAAAATCTTGGCTACCGGATTAAAGCAGGAAAGTGATCAGCCATGTGCTTCAGGTGAAGTATGTTGCTTCCTACCTCTGGTGTTGCAATCTGGCTGCGGTCATCTGGTATCCCATCCCATTCTAACATAGGCAGCAGTGGGAACCGTCAACTCCCACCTAGTCACGCTATACAGAGTCTAGTAGCTCTCCTCCCTGCCGTGCTTCATGGTACAGTGTATGTTGATATCGTTAAGTGCATTTCTTCCTTTGGAACAGCGAAGAGGTTGAAGAATGTGGATCTGGCCAGCAAGCGAGTGCTCTGATTATCCACTATTACACAAAACTTCACTGCTTCTTCTGGGCGTCCATTGGGGTAGATGTTGGCTAAGCAGATCTGATGACACAAATGAGGGAATAATGTGTTGTCGCACACTGCAGTGCAATTGAAACTCACCACTGGCTCCAGGGGTGCCTCTGGCACGCTGAGGCTCCTTGGCCAAGGGAGGGTTATGAGTTGTCTGCTGTGGTGACTCAGAGTCTGGTTGTAGAGCGGCTGGATGCTTATTGCTGTCAGCATCCTTCTAGGCATGACGTTCTGGCTCGAGGGCATGTGTTGTATGTAGACGGTTCGTGGTTCTCCTCAGAGTACTTTATGAGGAGTTCATGATCCATTAACACATGCGCAGGTAGACTGTCTTGCTGCTGGGTGTGGGTATCACATTCGTCTTGCCATACATCTGCATTAGAGTTGCCTGCAGGGTGTGGCAGGAACTCTTTTGCCTGTGGATTGAGTGTGGCAACTGTAGCTGCTTGCATGCCTACCTGTTGAGAAATCTTCATAGTAACTGGTGGGCTAAGTTGCTTGCCCTGTAGGTCTTGAGACCTTGGTGTGGGTTTTTTGTTTTCGGGAATGGAATCTCGAGTTTTAGGTCTGACTACGTCACTTTTTGGAATGTCATCTAGAGCCTGTGGTTGAGATTCTCCCCTTCGATCCCTAGTTTTAGGATACTGCTAACTGTGCCAGTTTTGCCTGCTCGTGTCGTAGCGAGTGCTGCTCATCCATGTAGGCCTTGACACGTTTATCTGGACTCTCTCTTTCCAACTCTCCACGGTGGAAGTTGAGGGAGGCGATGTTGGCCACCTTTTGTAATGCTGTGGCCCATGCTGTCTTTCTTGCTGTGTCCCTTTGACGTTTGAGCAACTCCAATTTGGCCTGAGCTTTGGCCATTGCTGCTTGTTGGCTGGACTGGGCTTCTGCTTGAGCTGCTACTGCCTCCTTCTGCCGTGTCACTTTTTCTGTTGCACATAGATCTGTGTCTGCTATTGCAGCTTCTATTTCAGCTTCTGCAGCTCGGTCGGCATAACTTGCTGCTTTGGAGGCCTTAGATGCGTTGCTGCGACGGGAGGATGCTTTGGAAGGATGGGAAGAGCTAGCAGCAGAGAATTGCTGTGAGACGCTAGAACCCGCTTGAGATCTAGCTGGCTTAGGATGGAGGGAGAAGGCTTTCTTAGAATAGTGAGTGGAGGCCACACGTGACCGAGAGGCTATGTTGGATGTAGCCCTCTCCCTCGACATTTCTTCCAGCTGTAGCGTGTCGTGGAAGGAGTATTTGCCTTCCTGAACGCAGTCTTCGCATTCCTTGTTTAACTTCTCAAAGCATTGGATGTGTTCTTGGAGCTTTGGGTCACCCAGCTTTGACTGGATGGACTTGAATTTACTTTATCTGTTTCTCTACCGTGCGAAAAGGTCATCTAGATCATCTAGCAATGTGCAGATTCTCTTGAGGGACAGCTTGCATTTTGGGGCTTCAGAGATCTCCAGCTCCGACCATGAGTCTGCATAGCGGCAATATTGCCTGTCCCAATCCTCCCTCAAGCATGACTTCATGGGTTCGGTGAGCTTCCTGTACTGTCTGAGGTTGTAGGCTTTCCGAGGTAATGTAGCCTCTTCAGAACATTGGACATCCGAAACTGGCCTTGGGAACCAGGCTCCACATTTACATCAAGGGTGGGTGGAGGGTTCGAGTTCTCTGCTACATCAGAGACATCAGTTGTGGCTGAAGATGTTGCCATGGTTCAAATTGGGAAAAGGTGAATTTCGGAAAATTTAGCGGTTTTCCGTGTAATTCTGCTTTTTTTTCACTAGGATGGCTTTGCAGGTGTGTGGCTGAATTTAGAAACTTCTGTAAAATTCAGTACTCTAGGTGGTGTTGCAGGCATGTGGCTTAGGAGAATGAGCGCATACAGGGAGACATATTTGAGAGAAGTGTTTGAATAATACACACACAGCACACAGATACACTGTACAGTAAATGTAGGTTGTATTCCTAATGGCTGAATTTAGAAACTTCTGTAAAATTCAGTAGTTGACCACTAGAGGTGTGCTTTGCCAGGTCTGGAAGACACTGGTGCGGTACACAGGTTGGCCTGTTAGTCGTGCTTGCTAGGTTTGGAAGACACTGGCGCAGTACACAGGTTGGCCTCTTATTGGTGCTTGACCCTTGGGGTTATGTTGCAAGGGGTTGCTACAAGCTATTAGGTGAATTTAGAAATTTCCTGTGAAATTCTCTACTTGACCACCAGATGGTGCTGCAAGCTAGTAGTTGAATGGCAGGCAGTTGGGCTGTGAAAAACTGAATTGCAGGCAGTTATGCTGAGAGGAAAGGTAATCAAAGGATGTTATACTTTAGTCCAATGCATGGGCAACTATGATTAAGTGATTTCCCTTTGCTGAGTAATGCAGGCTGTTATTCTTTAACTGTAGATCACCTCTAATTTTCAGTAAAGGAAAAAATCTTTTTGGCTTTGTCAGCAAAGAGAAACGGCAAGCTGTATTCCTGTCTTTAAGTTGCTTGCTGGATTTGGTTTCTCTCTTGGGGTATATGGCCCATTGCTATGGAGACGGCTCAGCACTAAAGAATTTATGACCCTGTTGCTTGGATACCCTCATAAACTGACTAGAGGGGTCCTCTAGTGAGGAATGTAAAGCCACTCCAGATTTAGAGAAAATGCAGTTTCTCTGTTTTTTTAGGGCAGGAGAAAGGATTACTTAGTTTCTTTCAACTGCATTTGTAAAGGGTATGAAGACAGTAACTGGAGGACTACAGGAAGAGATGGGGGATTTCTGGCCTCTCCCAGCAATTCAAACAGGCTTCAAAACTTTGTTGCTCAGAAAGAGAAAGAGACAGAGAGAGAGACTTTCAAAGGCAATCTGATTAACTTTTATATCTTTACTCTGGAAACTCAGATTAGCATTGTACTTTCACTTGGGAGTTCCGATTTCAATATACTTTTACTCTTGTCACAGGAATTCAAATTGCTTTTATTCTTCACAGGAATTCAGATATAACATTATTCTTTTACTGAAGGAGTTCTGATCAGCACTATTCTTTTACTGTAGGATTTCAGATCTCAATATTCTTTTACTGTTCTGTCTTTTATAATTACTGGCTGAATATAAAGACAGACAGACAACTCTACAAAGGCTTCCATACAAAGTTTATTTTATTGATTCACCAGGCATCCTCAAATATAACTCACGTTTCCGTTGAGATCCATCTAATGTCCAATTCTTTGCATAGCTGGCTTCATAGTGTAAAAGAATAGTGATCTTTCATCCCATAACGAAGGAGCAAGGGGATGAGGCACGAGCATGCTGCTGGAGTCCAGGCAAGAGTGAAGGAACCTCCCCCAATCCAACCAAGGTTCAATTCAGTGATCAATCAGGATTACAGATGTGACCACATGACATGAACTTTGGTCTTATCTTAACTACATTTACCATGAGGCATTCCCTTAAGGGGACAGCTCCCAATTCTAACTTAACTAACTCAATTCCCATTACCTATATACTGTCTGGACAACACAAGACCTGTCACCTGCTTATTTTATTTAATAAATTTATATGACACTTTGGGGAACAGAAAAGCTGTCACAGTTTCATTAAGAAAGATCCTATCAGTATGCCTTATAATAGAAGATAAATCCATTCTGCTGGGAAATACTGCAGTTTAATTCTTGAAATTTATGTAAACTTGTTAAGATTTTGGGTAAACACATGCTTAGAAAAAAAAGTCTCTTTTCAGTTTAACACCCCAGAAATTGAGGCCTAGGATTTCACTGAAGCAACCCAATTCATTTCCTAAATCACCCATGTTGCTTGCTTCCAAGAATACAAATTGCAAATGCAAAGCAACTAAGTAGTTACATCAGATATCTAGAACAATTTCCTTAACCTGGGGAAAACTGAATTAAATTTCAGCTCCCATTATCCAGTCAGCCCTATAAAGTAGACTAGACCGGGGTCGCCAACCTTTTGGACCTCAGGGACCATTAAACTCATAATTTTAAATCCCGCAGACCACTAATTTGAATTTTGACTGACGGTGGCTTGCTGACGTTGGTGGGAAAGTTGGTCCCATGTTCCAGAGCTGCCGTAGTCACAGGACTGGCCCTTTGGTCACCCCGGAGCAGCTGCTCCTCCACCCGGGTGCACCGGCCTTCCATGGACTGGAGGAGCATCATTTATACATATATATATATGGGCCTCCATTAGTGACCAAACGGCCAGTCCTGTGACTACTGCAGTTCTGGAATATGGGACTGACTTTCCCACCAACGTCAGCAAGCCACCCTGGGGTGGATTTCCCTCCCCTGCCGTTGGTCTCACCTTCCAGTTCCAGCTCGCGTGGCTCTACTCAAGGTAAGGTTTGCACTTGGCCAAAGGGTAGGGGCCAGCGGGTGGGCGGCCATGTGGGTGGTGCAACCTTGTGTTCCCGTGCAGCCTGGATTAATTGCTTTGGGGGGGGACATTTCTCTGCAGACCACCAACATTTTCTCGTGGACCACCAGTGGTCCCTGGCCCACTGGTTGGCGACCACTGGACTAGACTAAGAAATCAATGCCACATACTTTAGGTCTAAAACTACTTTTATTGGAAGAGCTATAGTAAAAAAAAACTTGCAACTCCCAATGTTCTTAGTTCTGCCCTCACTTTATATTTGTGTGAACCAGGGAGGGGTGTGTCTGAGATGATTACTGAAATTAGTTTCTTGGAATGGATCACACTTGTTTGATTGTTGCCTTGGTAGTGGCTTTTCCTCATGTTTTTCTAGGCCATTTCTTATGCCTTTTACCCATCCCCACCCAACATGCTGGCTGCATTTTGGAAATTGTAGGCACCAGGATAGAAAAAAAAAGGTGTGGTCCCTATTCATGATAAAAGCAAACTTTTTGTGTACAAGGAACTCATTCTCCCTAATGGCTGTATCTGCTCCAGCCATGTCGAGCAAGAAATGTTAGCATAGGTTTTTATGGTATGTAAAACCATTATTTGCAATCATCCTCAAAATAATTGGTTAAACATCACACAAATCTGTCCTGTGGTCATTTGTGATATGCTTTTTATGTTATGCGAGTTGCACATAACTTGTATTTTGTTGCTTTCTGATGAAATTCATCAGTATTCTAGGGCATTGTGTAAACAGCAGCAATAATTTCTCTTGTTTTTACTTTGTATTTTAAAGATAGAGCTCATCCAAGTGTAGTTGAAAAATTTAAAACATCGCCACTAAGAGGCTTTATAGTTGATTTAGGTTTATGGAAAGATCGTATTTTTGAGGTATGGGTCATTTCTCTTGGATTAGCAAAATTTGGATTCTACATACCTTTTGTGCATATGGTAAGTTGTCATTATCTTTTTTTTTTTTTTGGCTTTTCTGTTATAACTTAGAACAAGGGTCCCCAACCTGTGGGCCATGGCCCACTAGTGGGCCATGAGGGGTTTGGAACCAGTCCATGATAATGGCTGGCGAGTGTGTGCACGCACAGGCACATCCTCACTTGTACGCGCACTGGCCGAGTACATGCGCATACTCCTTTGAAGTGCAAATGGAACTGCGTACATGCGTTTGCCACCTGCTCGTGTGGAACCATCTCTTCTCCCACCCTGCTGATCTGCAAAGCCACAAATGTGTTTTGACCCAAGCCTTGTTCAAATTAAACAAACACAAACTGTATAAAAGCAAACCTATTTTAATGCTGTGCTTTGAATTCAGTACATTCCCAGCCAAGAGACAGTTAAACCTAATTGTCTGATATCAAAAGCAAGCATTTTCAAGGTTGCAAAAAGGCTGCCAAGAACAGAAGACTAATTACTGACTAAGTATCCACCGACAGAAGTTTCAAAAACAAACCAGAGTAAGCAGGGCTTCAACAAGGACTCTGTCTAAATAACTTCTTTGCTTCCTGCAAAGAACACATCCCCGAGGGCTGGTTTTTATCCTTTATGGGAGCGGCCATCACCTTCCAGCCTTACTCCCAAGTTGCCCTTGCTGCTTCGGCTGCTCTTTCCTTCGAGCAGCCCTGTGCGCATGCGCACTGGGCACAGGCTCCCTGGGGTCCTCTGCATCACTGCTGCCAGACTCTAAAAGCTCTGAAGGCAGCACCCCACTCTCCGATAGTCCTGGCCCCATTCCTGCATCACATGCAGACCCCACGTCCGAGTCCTCGCTATCAGAGACCTCTGCCATCTGCACCTGCTGCTGGCGAATCACAACAAAACGTTGGCGAACTCTGGCTTAGAATGCTTATTGTTATAGAATATGTAAAACCTGTATATTCTAAATATTTTAAGACACGTGACTAAGCATTCAATCTTTTCCAGTCTTTTCATCCTTAACTCAATTTTGGAGAAGGGCTACACCAATCTGGGCCACGTTGATTTATTTTTAGTAGCTGTAAGATTGCCCTATGTGGTCACATAGGTAGGTGGTCACTGCGAACAAGAGTAAACTTATTTCAATAGCGTCACATACACCAACTGCAGTCTTGATTGTAGTAACTTTAAAAACTTGAATAATACTTGGTCATTACTTTTGAGGAATAATTTTTGAAGAAGACATGGGGTCATTGCCTCAGGACCTAAATTTGGCACCCTCTTCATATATTGGATCAAATCCCATAGTCCTGTCTCAGTTTGATTTTTGGTAATGCATTAAGGAGGCACCAAATTGAAGAATACTAATGTATCCAATGAAAGTAGAAGTGTCAAGAGAGGAATACGAAATGTTTGAATTGTCAGTCAGTCACATCTATTTTTTGCTGACTTATTTGCATAAATCTTTAAGCAAGTGTCACTGGATTTGCGGCTATACTTAATTACAAGTTTAGCTTAATTATGGCTGGTGTTCACCAGAATATGTTAAAAATCACTGTTGCTTTTTTTTTACAGATGAAACTTGCAGGTGATTTGGGTATTCCTTTGGAAAAAGCATCCTATATTATGGTAGGACTTGGAGTAAGCAGCATGATTAGTTCTCTTCTGTTTGGAAAAATTTGTGATATTGAAAATATCGACCGACTTTATATTAATCAGGCATCCATATTATCTGTTGGTAAGTTTCACAGCAAGCTTCTGAATGTGTTTTGCCTGAGAAATTATGGTTTTATACCTAGAAGCATCAGAGTATCACTTCTTGCACATACCAGTTATATCTGCACAACTGCAAGTTAACACTGTGCCTTAAAGTTAACTGTTGCCAAGTCTTCTTCAGGCCATTCTTGAGATGGCTTGAATTCCAGTTCCCATAGTCACTGGTGAACATGATGACTTGGAATTAGGGAAATGGAATCTGATACGAGGTGGGTTCTAGATTGGGAGAATCTAACTTCCTTATTGTACTCCAGCAGGAGGCACTAGGCTCTTGGAACCAATGCATAAGTTCCTTAATATGTAGCATGGAAGATAGCTCACTACTGCTTGAGAAACAAAATTTTTGATAAGCAGAACTAAAATATTGGAAATTAGCAGTGGCAAAGCCTGATGATTGTTGTTCCATCTCAGTTTACACTATAGGGTAAATAAATACATTTTGTTCATATTGAAACATGTTTTTTCATGTTTTATTTTTCAGGTGTGGTCTACTTTATTATTCCTCATTGCACATCTTTTGGCGCTCTTGTAGCCATTTGCTCCCTTTTGGGATTTTTTGATGCAGGAAACTATGTTCTCCTACCTGTCCTTACATTTGATTTGATGGGAGCAGAGAAAATGCCTATTGCTTGGGGGTTTATGATGGCTGTCAATGCAATTAGCTGTTTTGGTCCACCCTTTGCAGGTAATCCAGGTAGTATGATTTGTCTGTAAAGGTACAACTGAACATTGTTAGCCTAGAGAAAAGTATATTGCTAATCTGTCCAAGAACTGACTCTTCCCAAGGCTTGCTTGCTTGTTTATTTGCTTATTTATTATATTTGTATGCCTGCAGATCTCACAAGTATGATATACAGCAGTGAATTAAAAAGAAAAACCAATAAATATTTTAAAACTGTCATCTTTCAAAACAAGAAAACAACACCTAAGCAGGGAGAATGATATTAGCCACAGTAAAATAGAATCATAGGATTTCCCCAGTCCACTAATAGCCGCCAGGTCTGATGATACAGCCTGGTCCCAAGGGACTTGTGGAATATTGAAAGGGATGGGCCTAGCCTCACTTCTGAGGGGATCAAGTTCTCATAATGGGAGTGGCACACCAAGGACAGCCTGCCTGGGACCCAAGTTTAATTCCTTAATGGTTGGGACACGCAGCATGCTTTCTCTGGCAGATTTGGTAGGACGAGCAGATCTCTTCTCCCCAACTAGCTCCTCACCTGGAATCAGCCCTGCAGAAATGAAGTGAACTAGAACAGCACTATATCACCCACCCCAAGTCAAAGTCAACCCAGAAGGACTCCATGTCAAGGATATCAAAAACTGCAGAGAGGTCAAATAGGGCAAGGATGGATGCATGACCCCCCCAAAAAAATCTTGTATATGCCTGGCTTCTTGAGAAGCTGGTGAGACAAATTGACCATCATCAGAACATATTCACAGTTTAATCAGTAAGGAGGGACATGGATTTAAAGAACAGGTGGCTGAGCTTACAGCCCCAAAGACACTGTCTGTTTCAGACATGTTCAAACCTGTTCATATAACGGCAATACTCCTTTCCTCGGTATTTCCACGTGTCCTGCAACACGGCCAGCGTCCACTTGAGAATGAACCTGAGCAACTTTGTCTGGCAGATGGCTGAGCAAATTCCTCCTCATTGCCCCCCTGCAAGAGGTTCTCCAAGCCCCTATAAGCCACTCAGGAGCCCAGGAGGACTCATGCCACCCAGAACAGAGTGGCAGGACAGTTACCTGCAAACACAATACAAACAGCGAATTAATGATGCTTTGTCACACTTGCCACCACTAGTTAGGTCTTAATAGCATTTCATTTCCAGGTTCGAATTCATCCCTCGCTGAATGCCAGCAAAGCATTAGATGTCTCTTGTCTTGCTTTCTCTCTTCTATAGAGTGTCAGGATCCCATGGTTGCTTCAGTCATGTTCTTATTCCAAGAGGCTACCAGAGCTTTGTAGCACAATAGCAGGAACAACTGCCACTCCCTTTGGAACCTATCTGGGTCCATTAGTCACTAGGAACTTTCTTCTTGCTTTTCTATGTATGCCTGTATAGATGGTCCTTGTTTAATGACCACTCATTTAGCACTTAATGACAGCACTGAACAAGTGGTAGTTACAATGGGACTTTGCAACCATTGAAGCAACCTGCAGTCACGTAATAACAATTTCTGTTGCTTGCTCCTCACAAAGTCAGTGGGGAAGCCAGCAGGAAGTCAGAAGCTGTGATCGTAATATGTTCTCACTTAACAAAATACACGGTTCTTGCTTAACAATGGCAACTGGGACTGCCAGAACTGCTGCAGCTAAGCAGTCACCATTTTTTTTTACATAAAACCATGTTGCTAAATGATGGAGTTTTCAATTCCAATTAGCACAGTTAAACAAGGACCACCTGTATAGCTTTTGGGATCAGGAAGGTGTGTGCTGTGAATACTTAAATCTTTTTGATACTGGAATGTATGGTATAATTTGAAAGAAAATTCTGTTTTGGGAAAGGAAGCACAAAAGTAAACAATGTATTTTTGTTTCAGGTGCAATGTATGACATGTATGGCAGTTATACTATTGGCTTTGTAGTAACCGGGGTTTGCAATATTGCAGCAGCTGGCATACTCGCTTTAATACCCTGGTTGCAAAGAGAAGCAATCCAGGCAACAAAAAACTACATTAATGCTTCTGTATGTGTAATAACCAATACCATAGTGCCTTGGCAATCTCCAAGTCCTTCATTAGGGGTAAGGAGTGTTTGATGATATTTCTTTCTCTAAACAAGAAAATTTAGCCTTTTTCTTGTTCTTCTTCTTTTTTTTTTTTTGGTAGTGTGAATTCTGTACCAGCCTGATCTTTGATAGGCATTTTATCACAATGACCCTTTCATGTCATTAGCATTTCTGTTGAAAGGTGGTAGAGAAATTAATATAAAATCATCATGGTCTTTGTGATTTGCTCAAGCAGGATGTGCCAGCTACATGAAGATTCATTTAAACGTCTCAGAGTAGAGATTTTGGCACGAACCCCTGCCCTTTGTGTGGTTCCAGATAATTTTTTAAAATTACACCACAAGCAACACGTTTCTCCAGAGATTTTTCCCCCTCCCCAGTTTTATTGATTTTTATTTGTTGCTAGACAAATGCAAAGAATAAAAAA